AAGTACACAGGTTGCCAATACTTTGATATGTATTATGCCATGAAAATTAAAAATATTTCTTGCCCAGATGAGTGTTCTGTTTTTCACTTACCAGGGAAATTTAAAAATGAATCAGATTCAACTGATTTGTTTGATCAGCTTAGCCCTGAATATGATCTACAATGGTTTCTGTCTGTTGACTGTGCTGAGTGTCACAACAAAGGCGGCCAGTGTACAACTACCCGAAAGAATGAATTTATATGTGAAAAAGGTAACATCGACCTTCAACATGGACAATTGCTATATATATCTGAACTGACATATTTGCTCATATGTTGACATAGATTCAGACCGCCGCATGCAGCCACCACCTGCGGCCGGTTCATTTCTCACTTTAATTTTTCAGTCTAAAAGATTATTCGAATATTGAACAGGAAAATTATATGCTTTGATTCTTGGCTTTTTATTTTTTTTGTTTATAGGTGTTTTAACAAGTGTCCAGAATATTCATTATGGTGTCCCTTCATTATATATAAATATATAAATATTCAAAATTGTAATTTAACGAATTAATTTAGCATTTAGGATTAAATGTCTTCAACCCAAAAAGTGGTCTTTTAGGATTTGTTCGGTGCTCCCACCTATACTACATGTTCAATCAATGTTGCCGCACATAAATAAGGTGCACGAAGTATTATTTGCCTGGTCATTGGTACCGAAATTTTTTACGAAGAATTCAATTTTATTTAAGAAAGTTGTTTCGCTAACTAATATCAATATAATTAGGCAGATTTTTTACTTCCATTCTTCCACTTGATGCTATACTATACTATATGATAAGACAAAAAAGTGATGCGAACTAAGTTTTTTTTGTGGAATCATGTGATTATCATACTAAAAAAAACATAAAATAATTTAAATTCTAAATAACTCAACATTTGACCAAGTCAAAACCAAGAAAATTTGTTATAGAAATTGAAAATTAATACGAAATGAGAGCAACATGTTATGCAGTTTCTGGTCGTCCACGTATTCGTGAATTGGAACCCATAATTTTTATTTCCTGAAATTCTTACGTATGTTTTCGGGTAATTAATTAATTAATTATTCTGGTTTGTTTCACGTTGTAAATAAAATAACGGGCGTGTCCCCTTATAATCCTCACATGATCTTATTTGATATGTGAATTGTGTACATATTTTAATTCATCAGCAAATTGGCAAATTAATAATGTTTTAGATTGATTAGTTCAACCACAGTCTAGTTAGCTCCAACTATATAAATATTGAACAGACAATTGAATAGAAAATCTTGACTCCAGATACATTTATTACACAACTGTGTGAAATCACAAGTTCATGAATCATACATACCCCGTAAAGATTTACATGCAGGAGAGAATATACTGAGAAACATGAGTTCCCATCTTATTTTTATGAAGTTCTCTTAACCAAACGTGTGTTCTGACTTCACCTGCAGGAAGGAGTACATTGAAACTGGTTTTAGTTGCAGGTAACTCTTACAAATTTCAGTGTCATTTGTTTTGTTTGATTCATAAACATTGATATCCTTTTTCATCACAGGTGCTTCAGCTACAGCGGTAGTCCTTTTCTCAGTAATCTTGTTCACTTTCAAGAAGAGGAAGTACATGCTGAATTTGAAGGGAAAAAAACAAAACCATATAGACATTGAACTCTTCCTGAAGAACAATAAGAATCTTGCACCAAGAAGATACAACTACTCTGATCTTAAGAAAGTGACTAACTCGTTCAGAGACAAGTTAGGGGAAGGGGGCTTTGCTAGTGTGTATAGAGGAAAGTTACCCAATGGCCATCTTGTAGCAGTAAAGAT